CCCCCCCTCAACCGGCTGTCTACGGTAGACAGCTACGCGTTAAAACTGCTCGCTTGAAACTCCTTTTCCTTGTGCACCCTGCGACCAAGAGTGGAAGTCGAATTCTTCGTGTCGCTGTGCTCCCGCTGTGCTGCCGCTGTTGGGTCAACTTCTCAGAAGCGCTAGTTCTGCACCTTAACCAGCACTACGCGCAGCCCGCTTCGTTCCCTGCCTCTGCCGTGGCTGTCCTCGACAACAAACGGCGAATGACGCTGCCACTGCTGTGTGCCCTCTCCGATGCATTCCAAAATTCTTCTGTTTTTCAAGGTTCAATGGCCAGGCGTGCATCCGCAGGGTGCTCACCTTGTCAGGGATTTTCCTGTTATACAGTGGCGTTTCTGACCCCGACGTCGGCATGGTGAGTCAGCCAGCGCTTTTCGTCGGGTCTTCCCTCCCCGCGAGTCCTGCTTTTGGACGTGAATGCCGTCTCCGATATTCCTCCCTCCTCCCCTTATTTTCTTTGTCCTGCTCGTGGTCTTTGGTGAGAGGCGGGAGCGTGCCAACCCCCAATCTGGCGGCGTGGGTCTATTTATAGGGGGGAGTATTTTTGTTTTTTGCTGGCTCGCCGGAACCCCGTACAACGGTTTCACCATGAGTTGATGATTCAGATGGGTGGGATTCCGGAGACTGAGAGAATCAGACGGGCAGACAGATGAGCAGAGAGGGGGAGGCAGAAAGAAGTACAGTCCCGTTTGGAGAAATGCCGTGCAGGCGGCAGACACATCGCGGGGGACGGGGGGGGGGTGGTGGTATGGAGGACAGCCAATGTCTCCCATAATTGTTTCCCCGATGTGCTTGGTCAGTTTCCGCGTTATTCGGTAGACAAGTCGGACCACACGCCCCTTCCCCCCCGCCCGCCCGCGCTCGGCCACCCCCTCAAGGGAGGAGGAGGGCGTAGCGATTGCGTTCGTTTTTTTTTTATCGCCACCCCATGCCACGCCACATACAGTAGTGTTCTTTGTGTGTGCCCTTCTGTCGTATATGAGGAAGGCAAGGTGCCTGCTTCGTACGTTGTCGGCCGGGAGGGCGGAGGAACGTGTAGCGATTGCGTCATGCCACATTTAAGTTTTTTTTTTTGTGTGTGTCTTTGTCTTGTGTATCTGAGGATGGTGCATGCTTCGCACGTTGACAACCCTGCGAGTGTAACCTTCGAACCACGCCTGTTGTTGCTGTTGTTGTTGTTGTTGTGTGCCTCTTCTTATTTCTTAATGACAATTCCATGCCACCCCCAGGCCCTGGTGGTTTTGGCCCTGATGGCCCCGACACTCGCCCACTACGCTCGCCGCTACAACATGTGGTGCAACAGGCGAGCACGGGGGAGGGGAGCGCTGCCGTATCATACCTACCCATGTGATGTCCAACTTTTTTTTGGGTTGAAACCTCATCACGCGGGTGCGATATTTTGTAGAGGGCGTGGCATCTTGTGTCACCGGTGCGATGCTGTGCGCTCACAAGACCCTACCTAGAGGGAATGTGATAACTGGGACGTGCGATGGAAAATGGTGCGGGGCAATAACGTCGCCCGTGTGATCAAGTCCGCTCGAAGCGGGAAACCACACACAGAGGGTGAAGGTAGTGTATTGACAATCGGGGCATATGCAGGGGTAGTAGCCAGGGTGGCGCACGCCTCTCCATCACGTTCTTTCCCACTTTTGGGTTCTTGCACAAGAAAATGCAAATACGAGCGAACATGCAGCACCGGTAATTCTGGCGTATGTGCCTGTGTGGTTGTGTGCACCAAGGGGTAACAGACAACGATGCCCAATGTTATGTCATACTTGCGTTCATCACTCAAGCTGGACCTATTCTACATGACACACAAGCATTTGCCCGCGATGAATGCCGTCGTCGTTGTTAACACGTGTTTATATCTCTTGTTGGTCTCTTGTTGCCTCTCGTTTGCTGTCGTTGTCGATGATGATCTTAATGATGTCGGCAGCTCCAAGTGGTACCGTGCAGGGAATAAGCTGTCCCAGGAGGAATACGAAGCGCAGGGGGACGCGTACACCCGCGAAGCGATAGCCGCCCTGCGCGAGAGCACGTGCAACGATTGGTCTCTCACCAAGAAGGTCAGCCAGTCTTGTCTGTCTGCACATATTTTCATCCTCCGTTCTCTCACGCATCAAATGTTTTTTGAGGCATAGCAGCGTGTGTCTCTGTTTTCATTGTTGTAAGTTTCCTTTGATCCAAGACGACACTGCTGTACTCAAACTAGTTCGAGTTTTGCCGCAGGAGGTCGACGTAGGAGATGGTAGCAGTCCGTTGCCGAAGGTTGTTCGCCTGGAGGCCGTCCGGTTGCCGGTGCTTTTTGCGTGCCGAAAAAGACAAGAGAGACAGAGACAGAGAGAGACAGAGAGAGAGAGAGAGAGAGAGAGAGAGAGAGAGAGAGAGAGAGAGAGCACGCTATTGCTGTCCCGTGCGCGAGGTGAGGTTACGCAGCAATGGGGTAGCGGAGATTATGTTGTGACAGTTTGGGGCAGGACCGTCTGTGAAGCGTAGCGCGCAGAGACCAAAGACAGCCTATCACAGTGCTGGACGTTATTGCCGGTGCTCTGTTACTGCTGTCTTGTTTCGGTTCACGCCCTTCGGAACCATTGCGATTCACGGTTGGGGTCAAGCAACATGAGAACAGCGTGGAGGCGGAGAGATTTTCGGTTGAAAAACACGCGTAAGATAAGAACCCAAGGCGAAAACGCGGTTAGGGTTGGTTTTGGTGAGGGAGGGAGTTGTTTGTGGCATACCACGAAGCCCTTGAAAAGCGTGAGATAAAATTGCTGGCATACATCATGAACGAAGCCTCCATGGAGAAGGTGCGGGGTTGGACATTCGTGAAAACATGTAAGGGATACCAACATGAACACGGGCCGAACGTTGTTTTGTACTCGAAACGCTGCAGGTGTGTATCTACCGTTGTACTGTGTAGGCTCTTCGAACACTACAGACTATTACTCTTCGTCCTGTCTGTGGCAAAGCAACGACTGATTGAAGTACCCTCGGTTTGTTCTTAATCTCAGACTCGAAATATCGAAAAATCTCCTTCCTCCACAGCTGTGGGTGTTGGGTTTTGTAGAGAGAGCTACCGCAGGCATTTGGCGGTGGGGCGCCCGGCTGCAAGCGACATTACCAAATTGTTGCAATGTGGGCACATACCCCCCTTCCCCTCATCCGTCCCTCGTTTTTTTTCACAACC